AGCCTTTCAAGATACCATTTGAAGGATTATACATACTCTGGTTTGAACTAATTTCAGGCACTAGTTTTGTATTGAAAGCTATGCATCCATAACACATTTAACATCTTATTTTAAAACATATGTTCTCTTTTTAAAGCCACTAGAGGTTTGGCCTTCCCTTGGTGTGAATGTCACAATAACATTCATTTCCTTATGCTACACAAAAGTCAGCAGTTGTGTCTCCAAACTTTTTTTGCTATTTACTAAAGAAGAAAAGAATTTCCACTCAAACTGAGCCAGTGGTCTACAAAAGAAGGAGGATTATAGTAAAATGCCCTTGACCCTCTCTCCAAAGCAGAACCAGGCCCACACTTGAGGAATGCCAAATGATTCTCATTAAAGTAATGAGCATATTTTCAGTGACATGTGTCTGACCGACTTCAGTTTAGTTGGCAGGACTTGTGGCAGCCAGAGACCCAAAAATAACTCACAGCTGGCAGTTCCTGCTCGAACACACCTCACAGACGCAGTTCACACTGTTTCAAGGAAGCCCAGCCCTGAGCAGATGGGGTGTAAGGTCATATGCAAATTGTTGTGTCATTATACATGCATTCCTGTGACAACGGTCAAATTTAATACCCTGAGTTTCTCTATCTCCTCTTCTATTAAAATTCATTCTAACTTGAACAGATTTTGGTTTATTCTTGCCTCTGCCCCACCCAATAAGCAAAAGTTATTTTTAACTTACAACTACTGCTAAGTATTTTTCACATACACACACACACACACACACACACACACACATACACACACACACAATCCCTTTCAGAAAAAAGAAACTATGAAAAAAAAAAAAGACCATTGCATTTCAGTGAGGAGAAGTCTGTCCCTCAGTCAAAACCATAAGCAAATGTCATTTTGGCTTAAAAGCAACAAAGCACTTCATATTTATCAAGTTTTTCACAGTATTTTCTAGAGACAATGCCTCTGAACTCCCAGGAGGAAATGAACAGGCTACATCTATGCCTTTGAAAATTAGTCATGTATGTTTTGTAAAGAATGAGGACATTTACAAGCTCAATAAAATATAATTAATAATGGACTAGCTATCTTTTCACTATACTTTTCCTCTAAGATGCTTTCTGTATTTGGAAGCTAGCTGAGTGAGCCATGCTCCATGCCCTCCAAACCTGCCATTTGATGTGAAGATGGGTGTGGACTTAACCAAATAAAAGACGGAGGTAAAGATCTTGCACAAAGATAATAGCAATAACTACTTTCCGTGCTGGCCATGTTATAAACACATCATACATATTGTCACAATAAATCCTGACAACAGCCCTTGAGGTAGATGTTATAGTTATTCTTATTTTACAAATGAAGAAAGTATAGTACAGAGAGGTTAAATAACTTGCCAAAGATTGCACAGGTTTATAAGTAGGGAACCCTGACTTGAACCCAGTCAGTCTGGCTCCGATCAAAGTTAAAGACAGACCTGGGTGCCTGTTTGAGTTCCACTACATACTTACCAGGTGATCTCAGGCAGACTGACTCAACTTTTCTGAAGCTGTTTCCTCATCTGCAAAATGGGAACGACAACTACTAGCTTCCAGATTGGTGACCGGTATTAGAAAGGATTGTGTTCACAAGGTACTCAGCACAGTGTCGTCAGCATGGTCAGCATCTGCCACCAGGGCAATAGTACATTCAAATTTCTAAGATGCTACCTCTTGACGACCTTCCCTATTTGTCTCACCAACAGGTAAGTCACCAGTGTTAGAGAATGCACAGGGTTGGGAGTTGGGGGTGCTGTCTTCCTCCTCCTCACCCTGCTATGCCTATAGAATTAATAAGATATCAATAGGTGAGGTCTTGGAATAATAGCTTCCAGGTCAGACAAAAACATTTGGTGAATAATTTATTGCCTGCCGTGTACCATATGCCATATAAGGTATTGAGGTAACTAAACTGCTAAGACTCGTCCCTACCAGCAAGGGGCTTAGGGTTCCATAGAGGAGAAGCACAAGTGAAACATCAAATACCCAGCATGCAATCTGAGCAACTGTTTCAGGGAACTTCGTAGGACTGGCTAGGTGTCCGTGCAATGGAATACGTGGCCACAGCATTATTCACATCATCAGGCCTTGTCACTCTGTGCCTTTTGAAGTCCTCTGAGAATCCACGGCAATCTCTTCAGCCTGAAGCTATAACACTGATAGTGTTGCCTTTTGTGATTCTCAAACGCTCAAAAATACAGCCTTTAATTACAGAATCTTGGCACAGTCAAACCAACATCTGATGTGAAAGTCACTGAGTTTGATCCTGACACCGCCCAACACATTCTTTATCTTGAGTGGTCCAGCATTATAAGTCTTTCTAGTTGAAACCATATGTTTAAAATATACCAAGTTAGATTTCTGATAGTAGAGGAAATCTAAGGCAGTGAATCATACTTCAGAAGAAGCCTGAGTTAAGATATGAGAGCTACTATTTTTTTTAAGTAGGAGAAAGCTGAAGAACTCTCAACAAACATGATCTTCCTGAGATTAGCTCTTAGACCAAAAAAATAGGGCAAATTTTGTGATGTTCTACTTGTGCTTGAATTTTATGTTTAAAAAAAAAACTTTTATCAATTTTCAGCTACTCAACCTTTTGTAGCATTCAGCTAAAGACACAATAATGCTGTGTAACAAAAGTTCACAAAAATATCAATGGCATTCAACAAGAAACATTTATTTCTTGCTAACACAATGATGTCATTCAAGCAAATCAAAGAATGGTGGCTAGCCAGGGTATGCTTTTTTCACTGAACTAGAAACATAAAAGGTCAACCAGCAAGCACACACACCATATCCTCTTCTCAGATCACATCCACTAGCATCCCACTGGCCAAAGCAAGTCCCATGGCCAAGCCCAATGTCATGAAGTGGAAAAATACACATCACCCACTAAGAGGTCATGGCAAGGGTACGGGTGCATAACAGTACTACAAAGGTAGGAAGAATTGGTACTAATAATCCAATCAACTACACTTCCTAAAAATCCTGAAGCATAGACATTAATGGTGCCAATTGTTCTTGACAGTTGAGAAAATGAAGTCCTTGACAGTTGAGAAAATGAAGTTTATTAAGATAGAGCCAGCAGTATATTGCTACTCTAACAAAATTCAAATTGAATCTTTAATATTCTGGCCCTCTATGGCTTCTATAAGGATATTGCTTACTTACTAGTAACTAGCATGCATCTTTAATAATCACATCCTTTAATTATTCTTCCTTGCAAATAATCTGTTCTCCCCAATAAAAACCAAACCCAGCACTGTCTCATCTCTTAGCATGTTTACCATTTGTTTGGGACCTTCTGCAGTGTTTTTACAAGCTATTTTTTACTATTACTACACTAATAAATTATTTATGGTGGGAAACCTAAATTGAAAAACCCTGACTTCTTGGAAACAGACTTTATTAAAAACATCTCCTTCCCCCTCCAGCACTAGCCCCTATAGGATACAGTCAGTTTCTCTGCTTACTCTCAGTCTTCCAGACTGCACTGGACAGTGGAAGAGAAGCTCCGGATGGCTGCAGAGACAGGACTAAGAATCAAGTCTGAAGCCATTCTGAAGCMTGCTACTGCCCTGTGCCATCCAATCACCAAATGAATCCAGCTGTCCTGCGAACTAGAGGTGATAAAGGGCCAGAATCATGCCATAGCCTCCCGTGTCTATTCACTTATTCATACAAGAAATGGTTACTGAAAATCAACTCTGCACCTGGCAGGGTGCTGGGCTGGATGAGTGCCAAAAGAGGAGGACCAGCTCTCACCGAGTTGACATTCTGCAGAGAGGGGCAGATTGTTACCAAAAACAAAAAGTAAAAGCAAACAGCCATAGTTTCAGATTGTATTAAGTGTTGTTGAAAACTAGTCTGGCTCTGGGAAGGTTACTGGTTTGACCACCTCTCCGGGCCCTCAGTCCCTTCAATCGGGATAAGTCCCATACTAGACCCTTCTCCCGTTAGCAGGGTTAGGTAAATCAACTGCGCTAACAGAGGGCTTCCGCACCCGCGCTGGGCACCTCCAAGCACCGCAGTCCTAGGGTGGACGTTCCGGGCCTCTCTCTCCACTCTCTCCAAAATGAAAACAAGAGAGACCTGATACTCCCCCCAGAGGATTCARTGGCTGAGGCCGAGAGGAGGACGAACCGTGGAAAAGGAAGGAGAGGACAGTGGTTCCTTGGAACAGAAGCACAGCCCCTGCGCCCTAGCCGGGGGTTGGGACAGTGASCCGGGCTAAGAGGCCCTAACCCTGSCCCCCAGCTGCTCGGTGCCGAGCCAGGAGCCCAGCGCTGCTCGGTTAGGGTCCTCGGGTGGGATGGGGCTCTGTTCTCCAATCCCATCCTTCGGTCACCAGATGCCTCCTGGGCCTTCTTCTTCCTGCTTCCTTGCCATCCGGGAAATCAGGCCTGACAGCGGGCTTGTTAATGACAGCTTGGGGGTGGGGAGGGGTGGAGTTTGTCCCCTCCTCCCGACTCTCCGACCCGGGATCCTTAGGGGGCGGGGGGGGGGGGAATCCTAGCCAGGAGAGAGGACTGGAGGCTTCGGCCCCTGCTCTGCCCCCGGCTGCGCTGAGCCTGGCCCCCGAGAACTGATCTGCCTGAAGGGCTCGATCTTGATGCTCTGGGAGGGAGGTGACCGGTCCTCCTCCCCACACCTGCCCTGCAGTGTGACCTAGGCGCCGTGCCGGCCTCCTCCAGCTCTCCGCCAGCCCGGGAGCCGCAGGAGGACGGTCTCGGCTTCCCGAGCGCCAGGCCTCGCTCGGGCTGCGGCAGCTGCGCCCTGGGGGCTGGGAGGGGGCGCGAAGGTGCCAGGGGACTGAGGGGTGGTGGAAGATCTGGCCTGGCAAGGCAGCCTCAAGTTTCCACGGGCGCGCGGTTGTGCAACGGCGAGTGGAGCGGGAGCCACAGGCGCCTCAGAAAACTAGCCGAGCCCATAAACAAAGCCACGTGGCCTCGGGGAGGGGGGCCGGGCTAAGAGCAGGCGCTCTTCCGGCAACAAAGAGCTGGGGCCAGCGGCCCAGGATAAATACTGTGGCCCCGACAGCCGCGCAGCACTCCCGGAGCTTGACGCGCCGCGTGACCCTCCCCAGAGACAGCGCCCTCTGAGAGCGCAGGGGACCGGCTCCGCACCCCCAAACCCTCAACCCTCCACGCCAGTGCCCTGCACTTCCAGACATCGCGGGCCTTGCACCCGGAGCATCCGCTGGGGGAGGCTGGTCTCCGACACCGCCAGGCCGGTCCAGTCTATCAGTTCGTCCAGTCAGTGGGTGGCGTCCGCTCTCGGTGCCATGCCATTCCTTGGGCAAGACTGGCGATCCCCCGGGCAGAGCTGGGTGAAGACAGCCGATGGCTGGAAGCGTTTCCTAGATGAGAAGAGCGGCAGTTTCGTAAGCGACCTCAGCAGGTGAGGGGACCCTCCACCTTCTAGCCAGGCAAACCTGACCTGGGCTGACCTGGGGCGCGCAGGGCAGATGAATGAGGATAGGTTGGGCTGGGACAGGATGAGGAGGTGGGCCCTGTCCGAGGGTGTGGGAGTGGGTTGCCCGGACTTCTGCAGAAATCGCCAGAGCACTGGAGACCCGGAATTTGGGTTCTCTTACTACTGAAGTCAGCTTCTCCAGGTGGACATGACTTCTTACAGAACCCTGGATCCCTCTGGAACCTGACAATTGCAGATCTTGTCCACAAACATGCACGCAACTCAGGCACCTTCTGCCTTTGGACACCATAGACCAAAGGCATTTGCGCTTATGCAGGCGCGGGCGAGTGGGCTGTGCGCCTTTCATCGCCGGGGTGGCGGGGCTCAAAGTGTCATAAGTCTGGTGACGATTGGACGTGGGTCCCATCGTGAGCGCCCCCACGCTCTTCCCACGCACAGACGACGGTGGAGCGGGCAGAGAAAATGAGTAATCTGGAGGGGCGGCCAGATGGTCCCTGGGGCAGCAGCCTCCTGGGCGGACTTCCTCGGTGATGGTAATGTCTAGAGGCTGCTCAGAGGCAGACGATGAAGCCCACAAACCTCGTTTCGGGGGCAGACGAAGCACTAGCCACCTGTTTTCTAAGTGGCCCTTTCATCAGTCTTGGTACAGTGAGCACACTCCCATTTCTAGGGATGCCTGCCAGCTGCAGAAAGACCCCTGGGGACTTGAGGTCTCCCCTGAGTTCTGCCAGGCTGGTGGAAAATCTGAGGTCCTCTGAGTTCCATGCTCAGCTTCGTTAACACAAATACAAAGAATAACTTATGTGGCCCTGAATCAAATGGTCGTGGGACCATTTGAATGTTTGAGAACAGGATCCGGGATTGTCAGTTTCTCAGAGGGATCCTGGATTCTGAAAAAAGTCATGTTCACTTGGAGAGGCTGACCTTGACCAATAAGAGAAATTATTTGACTAGTAAAGAAGGTGATGAAAGCTGATGGGGGTGGGGAGGGGCTGTTGCAGCTGAGTCACCCTTGGGTGTCTTTTCCCATTGCCTTTGGTTAAACCACTGGCCCCTGCACCCTTAAATTGACTTCAGTGGAGAGTTCTGTAACTGGGCCAGGTTCCTGCTGACTGAGATTTACCAGTGGTTGTTTGGATAAAGGCTGAGCAATAAATTGTAAGAAAACTATCAAGAAAATGTGGTTGTTTTGGCAGCTTGACCTCCAGAGCCTCCCATTTGTTTGTGATTTGTAATGCATCAAATTCCCTTTGTCCATGAATGAAGAGAAACAAATTATTTAATGCTGAGATCTGTCAGTAGAGACAAGAGCATATTAACCTTTATATTAGAGATGCTTTGAGGCAGTCCCAGGGGAGTTGGAGAGCACAATACAGAAATCTTATTCACAGAAAACTTGTTTGCAGAAAAATAAAGGCAACTGCTGTGACTATGCCTAAATTATTCTCCCTCCACTAAGTGGGAAGGGGATAGAGTGGAAACTTTCTTCCTCCCTCCTTATTCCTAAGGAATAATGATCTAATATTCTGGGACTTTCTGCATAAAAGTTGAGATTCTTTCTAGGACGGTGCAGTAGGGGTGCAACCAGCTTTGTATCACCTTGTCTCACCCAAATACATTTGTAGGGTGGTGGTTGATTCTGTTCAGCAGGAAGTGTTCAAAAATGGGGAGCCTGCAATTCAATAACTGCTCCTTGAGATAAACTGGTGTGCTCTCCTCAAGAAATAGTGACACCTCCCCTCTCCACAGTATGGAGAACCTGAAGCTGTTTTAAACTCCCAGATGTTTAGACTAAGCTGGGATCAGGTAGCTTCCAGGCCCCTTTGTCCCTTTGAGGAACCTCCTCCCACTTTACACCTTCTGAGCTCCAGCTGTCACACTCAGCACCCATGGTCACTGATAGGAGCAATTGATATAGTGCCCACCTGTGCTCCTCTGATGAGTCAGAGTTTGGGAATCTTTGTGTAGTCTCCCAGCAAAACAGCTGGCTGTTTGTTTGCAGGGTATTTTTTTTTTCCAACAATTGTAAACAACCCCTTCCTTACTTAGCAGAAGAAGTCTGCCAACTTCTTAAAAGCAGTTGGCCTTCTGAGGTCTCAGTTGGTAATCTCAAATATCTCCACTGTTTTCCGTCTTGGTTTCTCTGTGATGTCAGGTTTGGGCCCAGTGCCTGGCTACGCAGGTGAGGTTGAATGCCTTCTCCTGTTCTGAGAAAACAAAAGGAAGGCCCTCAAAGAAAAGGTGGGGGACCATAAACAGGACTACAGAGGTATGGGATCCTTTTCCCATTCTCAAATTCCAAGTACCAGTCTGTGAGCTGCCCAATAAGAGCAAGGAATGAAGGGTGCATTTGATGGTTCTTGGCCTGGGGTTATTATTCAATGTTGACCATTCTTGTAAGCACAGCACTCCTGTTCTGGACTCCTTTGGCTGCTCTGTGGTCCAGGCCCCTGTCTTCCTCCAAAAAAAAAAAAAAAAAAAAGAATGTTACAAATCCTAGGGCAGCCAGGTGCCTCCCAAGACCATGAAAGGCTCTGAAAAACTTAAAGCAGAGCCCCTTCTCAAAAAGTTGAAAGTATGTAAGATAGAAGAGGAATGGCAAGTGTTAAATTTGGTGGCAGTTTAAAATTTCAAGGCAAGAGCTGAGCATGAATTGGTCTGAGCCAAGAATGCTTCAAGGAAATGGGGTTGAGGGGACCATACTGCCCTCCTCACCACCATCACCACCACCCACATCCACCCCCAGGATGAGTAATGTTGGCTCTATTTTCCAAGCCCGCACTTCTGCAGCTGAAAACTCACTTGACTGTTGCTTTACTGTGTAGCTAAGTCTAGACCAGGAAGCAGGAAGTTTGCCTTGGTGCTCTGGATAAAAATAATAGTTAAGATTTTATGAGTGCTTACTATGTGCAAGACACTATTCTAAAAGCTTCATACACTAGGCTGTTTGTCTCACAGAGTAATCTGGGACTAGCTTTTGGCCATCTGGATATGTCTTACAGAAAATTAGCATCGAAATCTCACTGGCCTTAATCAAGGCTATGTAACTACTTTGGGGCAGGACATGACTTTATTATTTGTTTTTTATTGCAAATGAAATAAGAAATGGGGTTCTATTTTTTTCCAATCCCCCCTTTATCTGTTGCTAATGTGGTCTTATTTATAGTATTATTTTGACATCTTTCCACCTTTTCTAAAGTTGTCTTAGAGTATCTTGGTCTGTGTTTGATGATGATGTGGGGCTGCACAGGGGAGGTACTTCTTATTCTAGGCCTGAGTCTATAAAAATCAAGATAGTAAGAACTGACTACAAAATAGCAACATCCTGGCTATTATTATTGAATTTGGTAAAGAACGCAATCTCCTTAAGATGGTTTTGTTTATTTTTTTTTAAAAAAATAAATGCTGTGATTCCTAAGTGGTGGAGTTTTTTTTTTGTGTGTGTGTGTGTGTGTTAAAACTTTCAGTTGTAATTTTCCATTGGCTTTGCATTTCCTTGAAATGGACATAATTGAATTCTCAAAATAGCCTCTAACTGAATATATTATTGCTTAAAAGAAAACATATAAGCAGGCAATGTAAACAAATGCCATGGCCCTTCCTTCCAGGCCTACCTCCAGAATTCAAAACCTAATACCAAAGGAGAAGTATAGGGTTTCCCTTTAGTTAAAACTTTTCTACATCCTACAGTGAGAGAGCATCATCAATTATGCAAAATTCCTTTTAAYTCCCTTTTGAAATGAGTCACTCGGGCTTAAAGCAGGCTCTTAGTGCTTCTGTGAGGGCAGCAAATGCTTGAATTCCCTGGAAGAATGTTTTCAATTAGAGAAGAATGAGATGAAATATAAGTATTTACAATTTCTAAGGAATGGTCACAACCTGTGGCCCCAGCTCTGCAAAGTTTCTGCTGAACCTTAATTGAATGATGRAGACTAAGATAGCTTCATTGTATGGTTCCCCATACACGGAATTTCTAACGTAGGTTTTTGTTGTTTGGAAGGGGTATGTATGTGCACATATACGCAAGCAAACTGTCTTTAAAAGTGAGCCTTCATGTGGTATTTTTGCACACAGAATGTTCTAGCCTTGCTTTGGTACATCACAGACCCCTTCAGACACCTTCTTTTTCTCTTTTCCCTAGCTTTGAGTAAAATTTCCTAAGTTAGCCTCAGGGACTCAGAGTTCTGTTGTCATTGTTCTACCCCTTTCTTCCTGCTGACCTTGGAGGAGATAATCCACTGGCCAGTGATTTGTACCCCTTCTAGTAATGCAAGTGGACAAACACACGCTCACATGTTACACAAAGCCTGGCCCAAAACATCCACCCTTGGCTTGCTTAAGAAAGTGCCTCTGACAGAGGACATTACCCTATCTGAAACCTAAAAATATCCTGTTTCCCTGAATGAAAAGGAGAAGGCTAAGACATTAGGAAACTCAATCAATGGTATTAAGTATGCTTTTGAGAAGGAAGATTAACAAATGATTGATGATCCACCACATCTTGGGTCTAGAAAAGTTATGTGTCATATATTACTAGGCATTGCAGTGTAAGACTGTAAGATACTTATTATATTAATTGAAGTGGGACTTAAGAGACTGTCACAGCAAAGACACTGAAAACCATTTCAAACCCTCTCTCCTACCACCTTCACAAGGCATGGCGTGGAGTACAGGTGGGCCTCATTTGACCCAACAGATGCAAATCTAACATGATATAAATCAAAGCCATTTTAAATCAGCAGAGAAATTTGAAAAACTCAAGGACTCTAACATATTGATGATGTCACCAAAAAAAAAAAAAAAACTAATTGATGTTTTACTGTGATTGAAAATCGTACCTTGTGTACTTCATGTGCGTTGAGGGAGTTAGAGAACCTATCTTTTCACTGTAGCTCAATATTTCATCCTTTCTGAGGAAACTATTTAGAGATTCACTTTGAGGTCACCTAGCCAGGTGGAATAGAACCTGTCACCCCTACCACAGCCTGCTGCAGGAGATGTACACCTGGCCCCAAGCTGAACCTGCCCATCCTTTGATGACCTGTGAATTGGACAGGTACACCTCTGTATCTTTTCAGACCTTCAAAATTTATGAATTAAGGCTTTRCCTTGTTTTAGTTAGAACCCAAGSTCTTCACCTTGTAGCAGGATGCTTAGTTTTGGTCAAGGAAACTAAACAGCTAGCACTGTACCCTAAACATCTGCTAGAAGTGGAATTCATATGTCAGATTTTTGTAAATGCAGTCATTTCTTAAAGATATGATGGGACTAGGGGTATGGCTCAGTGGTAGAGCCTGGACAAGACCTTGGGCTTGATCCTCAGCCCTGCAAGAGTAAAGACATGACAGGCTCATAATAGAAAAATGGGCTTGGGTATGCCTTAAATGGTGGATTCCATGGTATATGAATTATATCTCAATAAAGTTGTTTTAAAAGAAGAAAAAACAGGTCTGGAGTTGTGGCTCAGTGGTAAAGCACTTGTCTTGCACATGTGAGGCACTGGGTTCGTTCCTCAGCACCACATAAAAACAAATAAAATAAAGGTATTGTATCCATCTACAACTAAAATATATATTTCAAATAAAAGAAGAAAAAGCAGCAACTTGGAGGAGCTGCCTTTGGAAAATGTAGGCACTGTACAGTACAGTGATACCAGTAATGGCCCTTCCCCCATTTGTGGCTTTTGTTTAAAGTGACATTGTAGTACCCTGCACTGCCCTTAGAGAGGGAAGTACTGTGTATCAAATGACAATGGCAGGCCTTGTTAGAGGATTCAAAAGAATTAGAAGCCCCCATCCCTGCCTTCCACACAGAGGTGACAGTATTTCATCCTAAAAAAGAGAAGTCTATGCCTGTGTGGACTTCTTTTGAGTAATTATTTTATTGTTTTCTCTTGTTTGAGAAGCCTGTATGATTGTGTTTTATGACCCCATGTGTTATTTATAGAAACAACTCATGTTAAAGTGTAGCTGTCACAGCTCATCCTCTTGTCTTGTTACCCATAGTTACTGCAACAAGGAAGTATACAACAAGGAGAATCTTTTCAACAGCCTGAACTATGATGTTGCAGCCAAGAAGAGAAAGAAGGACATACTGAATAGCAAAACCAAAACTCAATGTAAGCCATTTGTTTTTAACTTAAGAGGAAAGTTGTTTGAACAGAGTTATCATTGGTTCTTGGGGGAGAAAATTTCCACGTCGAACATCAGACATCACAGAAGTTGCACCCAGAAATCTGACTGTGCATTTTGCAAGCAAGATCAACTTATTCTTTTTATCTTCTTTATAAGTTATTTGCTATTTAGGGTGTTTTTTCCCCTGTGTGTCACTTGTATTTGACATAGGCCATATAGTTATTATACGGTGATGCTGTCAGCTAAATCAATTCCAGCAACTACTTTTATTTGGAACTGTGTTTTGAAGCTTTGAAAATAGATTTTTTTCTCTTTCCTTGTAAATTAATATTTCTAGATGCTTTAGTTATTAGCAGAGGGTATAAAACTCTATTAATAAACATGAATTATTTTAGTTTATTCCATTTCAACTGCATGTTATCTGTTGTACGTTTATGGATTTATGTAAGTTTTAGGTTTAACATTTAAAACAAACTTATACTTGGATATTAGATTTTCTTTTTATTTGGGGGTTTGTATACTAAAACTGACTATTGACGATTTTAAATGCTTTAGACAAAGAAAATTATAGCTTCGGTATTTGTATGCTGCAAAAACTCAGCATTTGTRTCCTCTTAGATTGTCACTAGAGTCGTCGTCGTCATCTTTTTTTTTTTTTTTTTGAAACTTTTTAAGCTTTGGAATAAGTGGGGAAAAAAGAGTCAGTTTAAAATCTTGAGCACATGACCAATTTTAAACAAGCTGTGTTTTGTTTTTTGTTTCTGAAGATTTCCATCAAGAAAAATGGATCTATGTTCACAAAGGAAGTACAAAAGAGGTGAGCACTGACCTGTTTATTAAACCTTCATGCCTAGCCTTACACCTCCCTGAAGGGACAGAGAGAATCAGGCAGCAGCTTTAACTCCAATCCTGCCATCTTTGGTGCATATGGTGAAGGCCAGCAGCCTGTGGCCCAGCCATCAGAGTTTGGGACCACAGGGAGAGAGAAGCAAAAGCCACTAAGTAGACTCCCCAGTAGTCCAGTGAAATAACGTATGTAAAAGTGTGTTATAAAGATGAATGTATCCGTCTCTCAACTGTAATATGAAGCAGCTCTGGATTTTTCCTGAGGACGGTACCTCCCGTTATTCTAAGATCTCTCCAGACATTGTTAAGGGTTAGTCCTGCAAGGGCTAATCACTATATCTAATAGAAGTTTCCAGAGCCTGCTCAGCATGATGTCAGAGGAGACAAGACAGTGCATTCACGTCATTTGTATGGCACTTGACAAACCATTTTGTACCGTTTCTCTCTGCACAGGCACTTGCTCAGACAACTAGGACACAAGGCAATATGGCAGGATGATGGGATTTCTATSGCTATTGGGGATCTTGGAAAACTTCTAGTTCACTCAGTGTTTGAGGCCCAGAGAGGGTCAGAACAGACCACCCAGATACGCAGAGCAGAGCTGGGACTGTGAGCCAGAGCTCTCGACTCCCAATGCCTTGTGCATTCATAGGCAAAAGATCAAAACTTCTTTTTACTTCCTCTCAAAGACTTTTTTAAAAGGTGCTATTAGTGTGAGCAGATTGGTGCCACAGTTGACACAGGTGCATCTAATTCTCTGGGGAATGTATCACAGTCACTTGCCATTGTCATCTCCCCATATCATATATTCAGCTTCCAGAAATATTTTCCCAGACTCGTATGCAGAGAAAAAGAGCCCAGATGGTTTAAGTCATGAAAGGGACATTTCTCATGGTAGTCCCCAACAAAAGCAACTGCCAGACACATCACCCTTCTTGGTGGCCCCCCAGGGACTCATGGTGCAGGAAATACCAATGCCCAGGTTCCCTAAGACAGGCATCAAGCTTGTTTGGTAGAGTCCAGTTGGATTGTTCCAGAGAACAACCTCTGCATGGCAGGAATAACTTCCGTGTCTTTGTTTTACATTTAGCGCCATGGATACTGCACTTTGGGAGAAGCTTTCAACAGACTGGACTTCTCAACTGCCATTCTGGATTCCAGAAGATTCAACTACGTAGTACGGGTAAGTCTCAAGAGCCCAAAGCTTATCCAGATTCTCATGTTGAATTGTCTGTTTGGGTTTCCTGAAGTAGTTTCCTCAGAAGACAGCAGTTCAGGACCCTGAGTGTTTCGAGGCAAGCAGAAAAAAACGTTCCCAACCTCCCTCTTCAAGGTCTTAGGTGAGGATGTCCTTGAGATCGACCCTGACATACAGGGACTGCCATACTCCTTCAGTAAGTCAGTCTGTTCATGAGCCGGTCCCTTCAACTGAAAATTCACTGCAGTCCCTTGAGCCCACCCAATGGACAAATGGGAATGTGTTGCAGGTGGCAACATGAGCAAGAGACACTACGGCAGGAACCAAGCCCTAATATACTTTGGCTTGTTTTAAAACCTTCTGCATCTGATTGTCCCTTTCCTATTCTGCTTTGGCTGACTCTGAGTGACCCTAAGGAATTCTTACTTGAGGACACAAAACTGGATAGGTTTACAGCATCTCAATGTGGCCTTCTATGACTCACTTCCACCCCCATGCCCAAGTGATAATGGCACTTAGTCCCCTGTCTACCTAAATCCTAAACTGCCTGTTGACATCTATTGATTTCCATTTTAAACTTTATTTTAGAAAAAAAAAAAATAAGTGAGTTTTCACAATTAATTAATGAATACTACTGGGATTAAAGCAAATAAGCTGACCATGACTTCCAGGCCATTGATTCTTGCCATTTGGGTGACTGTTGTTGTTATTCCCCCTGAAGGTCCCTTGCCCATTTTTGTTGGTGGCTCACCAGGGGAGGTAGCAGCTGTTTGGGTTTCAGGCTCTGAAGTAGGAGGGAAATTTCCCCCTGTGGGTGTTGCTTGGTTTGGTTTTAATTTTCTTTTTCTGAGTTGTTGGGCTTCTCAGTGCTGTGTCACAGAGTCAGATGATTGCAGAAGCTCAGCCAGAGTGATGACATTCAAGCCTCTTGAGGCCTGATCATTCACCTGTCATCTGGGCAGATACAAGCTTGGCCGTGCAAACTGACCTGATCAAAACCCAGCCTGCAGGTTAGAAGCGCTGAGTGGAGCCCCTGAGGCATGTGCAGATCAGTACACTCCCAGCTAAGCCCCGTTTCCAATCCGTGAAAATAAGAACCTTTCTTGGGTGAGATGTTTGTGTCATTCAGCATGACTCTGCCAGTTTAAGGAGGTCACCTAGTCCTCCTAGTGCCTGCAAACTAGTCCAGGCTGGTTGGAAACAGGCCCAGGGAGATCTTGAAACTTCTGTTGCTAAGAATACGAATAGTTTCCATCTTCTGTGTTAGAGGAAGACACCTAGATCTGATGTCTTGCTACAGACTGATCATTAAAACAGTCCCTTTTTAGATGGTTTTTCTTCCTACCTATATTTTCTTTCATAAAAATAAAATAAAGAGAAGGAATAAGGACCATAATAGTGGAAATATAATTTCAGGCAACGGTGTGCAGTCTCAATTTTTATCCTTGCAGAAACCCAATGAAGCATAGGCACTTCTGCAAGCTTCATTTAAACAAATGGCAGGCAGGTTAGCAAAGTAAATGACTTGTCCAAGGTCACAAAGCTACAAAAGAGACAAYATCAGGATTTGAAACCTGGGCAGTGTTAGGGTCCATACTCTAAGTTTTATGATAAATTCCATGTAAGCCAAGGATTTAAAGTAAAATGTCCTGAAGTCAGGTCCCAGATCCTCTGATTTTCACCTGAAGACTTGTTCTCCTCCACTGTAAGAGGGACTGGACCCAATTTTATAGGGTAGCTGTGGAAACATTGGGATATATTATACATGCAGACCACAATCCACCAAAGTCAGCTTCTAATATTTAATATTACCTGCTTACCAAAATTATTATTGATTCCCTATAAAATGCCTTTTCAATGTGGTTGATAAAGATGTATTTCTCCTTTAAAAAATAGTAATTGGGGGCTGGGGATGTGGCTCAAGCGGTAGCGCGCTCACCTGGCATGTGTGCGGCCCGGGTTCGATCCTCAGCACCACATACAAACAAAGATGTTGTGTCTGCCGAGAACTAAAAAATAAATATTAAAAATCTAAAAAAAAAATAGTAATTGGATAATCTGGCACTTGATTAAAATTTGGCACACAGAACTTGTGTCTGATAGTCTGGTTGTAAGATACATCATGAGTGCATGCCTTTAAGTAATCTTAAAGACAGAAATTACTGAATGCTTTCAAAGTTAAATAGGTTCAGAAATAGTGGAAAACATTTCTGTTTTGGAAAGAACAATATTTTTTTCCCCTTCACTGTTAGAGGCCTCTGTAATTTGAGAAATAATATGGTATTTTTATAGAGAACTTAAAACATTTTAATGATAGGCACTATGTTTTGAGGTTTTTCTTCTTAGGAACTCATTATACTTCTCATATATTTTTCTTATCCTTAAACCAACTCTGCAGAGTTACTTGCCAACATATTACCCCTGTCTTACTACTTGGACCTAATGGTGGTTTGATGCCACGATGATTGTTTGGTTCCATTAAAGAGCTAAGCCAGTTTTCAGGGCCACTTGGGGGAAAAAAGGTTTAAAGTTTTTAAAGCCAAAGTACATCTTTAAATTTTCCTATATTCAGCTGGCATGATAACACATGCCTATAATCCCTGCTTCTTGACAGACTGAAGCAGGAGGATCTCAAGTTCAAGGCCAACCTGACAACTTAGGGAGACCCTGTCTCAAAAATTAAAAAAAAAAAAAAAAAGCTGGGACTGTAACTGACTGGTAGAGTGCTTGCTTGCCACATGCAAGGCCCTAGGTTCACTCCCCAGGACACACACACAGTTTTTTATTTTATTTTTTAACTTTTTAAAAMTTCTTATTTATTTATTCACGTATTTATTTATTTATTTATTTAGGTACTGGGAATTTAACCCAGAGGCACTAGACCACAAAGCCACATCCCCAGCCCTATTTTGTATTTTATTTAGAGACAGGGTCTTACCGAGTTATTTAGTGCCTCGCCATTGCTGAGGCTGGCTTTGAACTTATGATCCTCCTGCCTCAGCCTCCCAAGCCACCGGTATTACAGGCATGCACCACTGCATCTGGCTTTGTTTTATTTTTTTAATGTTCATGCTGGCTGTCATCTTCCAAAAAAGAGACATGCAGAGATAATTAAAGAGATAGTCAACACTGCTGCCTCAAAATGCTAACATCTCTATCAGCATGAAAATTTCATGGAATTTCGGGGATCTGAAAAAAAATTGTTATAAATTTTAAAAAATTTTTAAATGACATCTGCTTGTCATTTTAATTGGCTTCAAACTATGCACAATGTCCCTGCTGCATCACTTATACTCCCCCAATGAATTAAACACAAGTTGAGCTATTATTGAAAATAATTAGAAGTAGCAACTTACCTATTTGTGGAAGTCCATTTACAAAAGTAGCTTATCTTCTTCCTCAAGACCAGAGGCTTCTGGTGGCTGAGACAGTCATGGGATTGACAGTTGGTGACCAAGAGAAAATGGGTGCTAACTAATCAGGTACAGAGAGGTCAGAGAATTAAGTGGATTTCAGCCCTGACTGCACATTAGAGTCAACTACGAGGCTTGATAGACTTCAGAGGCCTGCCTCTAGAACTTCAGACTTAATTAGYTGAAGACAGTACTCAGGTATTGCCCCCTTTAAAATGTTAGCCAGGTGATCCCAATGAGTTTTCAAGTTTGCACATCAGCTCAGAAATGAGTTTGGAGCCCAAATGTTATATTTTGCATAATGGATTTTTAAACAACAGACCCTGAAGAATTAAATTTTGGATATGACTTCTGGGGTATATACTGTGGTCCATTAGGAATGAATGCAGTAATGGACAGGGAACAGCCCCTTCGACATCCCACTTTGAATTCAAAGCTTATTAGCTGGGACACCATCTGCAAATCTGCCATTGTACCTCTCTAAACTATAACACTGGAGTAATCATATCTGTATTAAAACATTTTTGTGAGAATGGAAAATACAGTAGTAAAATAAAGAACGGATATGAAAATGTTATCTAAGTTTCAAAAAGAATTATAATTTATTTTTCAGGAAGGAGGTAGGATCTAAACATATGCAGTCATCTTTCCTCGGCAATTAATCCAATAAGTCCCAAGTTTTCAATTCTGTGAACATAATAATTATTTCAAAGTTAATATAAGTGGTATATTACTCAATGTAAGTTTTTATAGGTGTTCTACATCTGGGCTGATGGGACAAGGAAGTCTCAATTTGCAGAACAGATACAATGTGGGGTTGGAGGACATTTGCCTATTTGCTTAGAATGGGTGCTTAGAACTTGTGTACATTTTTTAAATCCCTATGCTCTCGCTAGTGAGGCTCAACAACAGAAAACATCAACATTTACCCAAGTGCCTATCCCTGTTCCCCAYGGAGTCAGTTGAGAAAACTGCATTATTGGGATAAGATAAATGAAGATAAAAACTGAACCATACCAATAAAAAGCATAGCTTAAAAAGGGCAGGAACCAACAGCTAAGTAACTGTGATTGCTGAGTAGAACTGGAACTTGAACTCAGATTTGTACTATTCCAGAATCTGTGCTCCTGTCACTTGGCCCTGCCACTATCCAGTGAGGGAAATAGGAAGATAAAATAGATACAACCCTGCATTAAGGTCTACTGCAGGTATCAGCAAACTGCTGGCCCTTAGGCTTATACAGACTACTACCTATGTTTGCATGGACTACAAGCTAAGAATGATTTGTATATTTTTTAATATCTTACAAATAAAAACTATACTATTTTATAACAAAAATTATATACATCTCAAATTTCAGTATCCATAATATTTTATTGTAACATAGCTATGTTCATTCATTAAATATTGTCAATATTGTTTCTGTGCTAAATGCAGAGTTGGGTTCAGAGTTGAGCAACAGAGTTATTATGGCCTGTAAGTCTAAAACATTCATGATCTGGCCTTTACATAAAAAGTTGTTGACCACTGCTTTACCATCTAACTGGTTATTTGAGGGATATGCATTAAAGG